AGGACAATGCAGGACCCTGGGGCTGTGTCCCGACCTCCTGTTCCTGGAAGAACAACCCAGCTCAGGGCCCACGGGGGTGCACAGCACCCCTGCGGGGCTGTGGATGGACAGATGGAGCGCCTTGTTTTGTTGGGCAGGACTTGGGTTGGCAGCTGCTGATATGCTCCATTAGTTGTGAATGGACTATGCTGCTCAGCCCTGGTGGGTACTGGGTCCAGGTGAGTTTCAGCTGTGAGGGGGGTGTGGGAGAAGAACTGCAATGGACTGACTGCTAGCGAGCAAGGCTTGCTCTGGCAGCTGCTGCTGGACTTCAAGGACTGCTTCTCCTTCTCAGAGGATGATATGGGCCACACTGACCTTATTCAACATGACATCGATACTGGAGATGAACAGCCCGTTCGGATGAGGCCTAGACACCTCCCCCTGGCCAGACAGGCTGCAGCGGACAGGGCTCTGCAAGAGATGCAGCGTGCTGGACTCATTGAACCATCCACCAGCCCCTGGGCCTCCCTGGTTGTTATGGTTCCAAAGAAAGTGAAGGATGACTGGTGGTTCTGCGTAGATTACCGGTCTTTGAATAAGGTGACAAAGTAGGACCCATATCCTCTACCGTGTATAGATGAGACCCTTGACACTGTGGCGGGATCCTCATGGTTCTCCTCCCTAGACCTACGCAGTGGGTACTGGCAGGTACCTCTTGCACCAGATGCCAGACCAAAGACTGCATTTATTACCAGCGGAGGCTTCTGGCACTTTAAAGTTCTTCCTTTTGGCCTCTGCAATGCCCCTGCCATGTTTGAGAGACTCATGGATAAGGTGCTCACTTGAATTCCCCGCTGCCATGAGGTTATGCAGACCCCATGTTGTTTCCCTGCAGGAGAATGCGTGGTGTACCTGGATGACATCTTGGTCCATGGTGCTTCTTTCCACACTGCCCTTGGGGCCCTCAGACGGGTCCTGGAGAGGGTATTGGTAGCAGGGTTAAAACTCAACCCAAAGAAATGCTGCTTAATGCGACGTGAGGTCACGTTCCTGGGCCACCAACTGGAGGCCGGGGGGGTTGGCACCATGGATGATAAGATCCAAGCTGTGAAGGACTGGCCCACCCCAATATCTGTGCAGGAGTTAAAGAGCTTACAGGGCTTGGCATTGTACTACAGACGGTTTGTAAGGGGTTTCTCCTGCATAGCCGCGCCACTGTTCCACCTGCTCCAAAAGGATGTGACCTTCCAGTGGACAGCAGGCTGCCAGGGAGCTTTCACCTCACTGCAGGAAGCCGTAGTGGGGGGCCCAGTGCTCTCTGCGCCTGTCCTTTTCCCCGCACAGAAAGGGGAAACCGCTATATCCTCACAGCTATGGACTATTTCACAAAGTGGCCAGAGGCATACAGTTTACCTGACCAAGAGGCCGAGAAGATTGTGGATGCTCTGGTGGAGGGGATGTTCAGCAGATTTGGGGTGCCTGAAGTAATCCACATGGACCAGGGCAGGAACTTTGAGTCCCGTGTGTTTGCAGCCATGTGCGAGAAACTAGGCTCCCATAAGACCCGTACAACACCCCTCCACCCACAGAGTGATGGTCTCGTTGAGAGATTTAACCGTACACTGGCAGAGCAACTGGCGCTAGTGACGGCTAAACATCAACGTGACTGGGACACTCATGTTCCCCTGGTCCTTATGGCATATCATTCAAGACTCCACTTCGTGCTCCCCTGCCCTCTTGATGTTGGCCAGGGAAATCCGGACTCCAGCGGAGATGATGATGGGCCGACCCCCCGATGCTGATGGGGATCAATCAGGTCCTGACTATGCGAGGAAGCTCCAGGATTGCATGGAGTCAGCTCATGACTTTGCTAGGAGGAAACTGATGAGTGCGGGGGTGCGGCAGAAGAGGAACTACGACGTCCATTCCAGAGGCCGACATTTTGACATCGGGGAACTGGTCTGGGTGTACAACCCCTATAGGAAAAAGGGTAGATGCCCTAAGCTGGACAGTGACTGGGTTGGACCCTGTAAGGTTCTGGAACGCCTGTGGGAAGTGGTGTATAGGGTACAACTGCCCCCAAGGGGACGGAGGGTCGCCCTGCACCGGGACAGACTGGCCCCCTATTGGGGCGCGGCCACTTCACTGGGATAACAGGGTGGGCCACGGACAGACCTGGACTCCACCCCTACAGACTCCACCACCGGCCAGTCAATCAGATCATCTACCAATGACAGAGAGTCTGGAGGAGAGCATGTGTGTGGTTGGCTGAGAGTGTTTGGGGGGCGGGTGTTAGAGAATGTTGTTGTGGGTGTGTGCGGAAAAAAGGAGCGAGAGTCGGGGAGGGGGGGTTGTTTTGATTCTGGAGACCGCGTTTTTCCCTGTCGTTTCGGTGTTGGCTGCGGCCCACAGTAGCCTTTGTTACTATTCTTAATAAATACCGGTAACCGGAACACCGATCGTGTCTGTCTTCTGTCGGAGGGACGCTACAATATAATTGGACTTTTAATAGAGTTCACGTTCACTTTTTTCATTTCAGAATGTATCTTTATATTCAGCTGCTCATGAACCCACAACATCCTTATATCCACCACTGTAGATTTCTAAGCATACTAGGTATTTTTAAGTGAGACTGAAAAAACCCCTTAAAGGAACAATAAAGAAATATAACACATTAAGCCAGTATCATAATAAGAGTTATTAAAAGTTAAATTTATCCACAAAGCTGCAAAATGATTTTCTTGTTGATATTAGTGTGTATTTTGGTGTGCTACAAGCAAGTTTTAACAGCTCATCAGCAGCAGAAAGTCATGACAGATGAAGTGACATAATTAAAAGCTACAGTTTGAACAATGTAACTATTTATACAAACATAATAACCACAAAAAGCACAAAATCCAGTGGGAGTAAAAATACAGGGCATACTTTTAAAAAATCACTGTACATGAGACACCTCTTTACAGTTATTTACATCAGAATAATAAATGAAAGTGCAATGTAATCCCATTATGCCACACACACACGCACAGACACACACACACGCACAGACACACACACACACACACACAAAAAGTTCAAAAGTTAAAAGCTGCATTGCTCACGTCAGAGAATATCTAGAAATTGTCATTACAAAAGTTGTAATCGTTCTGTGGATTATGCCTTTAGCAAATACATATTTCTACATCACTGAAAGTTGAATTTATAGACACAAGTTACAAGTTAGAAATAAAAAAATCAGTCTTTAAAAGTATGTTCATGACCAGTTGACATCGTGGTCCACTGTCTTTAAGTTGTAATATAGATTTTAGGTGACATGCTTCTCTTTTTACAGGCCAGATTTCAACAATATTGGGTGAGTTTAATTTGATCCATTTTCCCAAAACTGAATTATAGTATATCTACGTAGTGTTTAACGTTAGCCTAAAGATTTGGGAAAAGTCAAGAAGTTTTCAGTGATTTTAAAATATTACTTTTGATATCCAAGACGAAACATTATTGGGAATCACTGTACTGAACAATTCTGGGAGGAAAAAAGAAACCAAATCAGTGCACATCTGAAAGTTATTTGTAAAAGTATTTCTAGAACTTACTTTGTGAGTTCTATTCTATTGACTCTCAGATGAAGTCACAAACTGGCAGAATGATGCTTTCCAGAAGTTGTGAGCTGTAAATAAGTGCAGACATATTCATCCAAAATCACAGTTTTCTAAAATAATAATATTCTCTTTCAGTGTCCATTCGTTGTTTACGTCAATCCACCTGGGGATACTTTTATTGTGAAGCCATTGAAACATTCACTGAAGTCTATATTTTTAGTGAGTCCGTGCTCTTACACACTGATCAGGGTCTGTATCCCCACAGAGCAGGATTTGTAAAAGGTGCATAGGGGCAGTTATTATGACAGGCGCATGACTGGATCATCAT